CCCCCCCTAGAGAAGCCCAGGCCCAGGCCCCAGTTGCTGGAGATTGAGGACTGATTGAGATTGGAGGTCTTAGAGACCAGATCTCCCTCATAGAGGTGATGTCCTGATGTTGTATGATGGGATGTCGTGGACTTGCTGATAGATGATGCTTGATGGACTTCTGTGTGGGAATCAATGAGAACTAGTATGTTTGAATCAGATTGATGAGAAACTTGATAGATTACAAGTCGACATTTTTGCTAGACACGTTCTTCAAAACAACTAACATTTTCAAAAAAAACACAGAAAACCACAAATCACAAAAACGCGTAAAAACCACACCCGCATAACGTCGTTTTCTGTAAAAAAAGTACCTTGAAGAATGATTGTTTTGTTTAATCTGTGTTTTTTTTCGACTTTTCTTGTGAGGAAACCTGACTGGTGTTTGCTAGAGGTTTAGTTGTGGAAGGAGCAAGCTCGGGCAAAAGGCTCAGTCAAGCTGGGAAAGCAGATCAGCCACGTTGATCTGGGGCCAACAGGAAATAGCGACTCATTCGGGGCTGGCCATTTTTCGCGTTGAGAGCACTTGTTGGGTGTCGAGAAGAAGACCGCCGTGAGTCAAAAATAGTAGAGCGCTTGCATGCTTGCGTTTGCACCCATGCCAACAGCGGATTTCTTCCTGAAGCTTAAATGAGCGTGCTTTGGTCTTGCGTCATAAGTCTTACGTATTCAACGCACAGCCACTGATCCTACGGTAGCAGAACCCAGGAGCAGGCCCGAAACTCACCTATGCCACAACATCCAGAATTGTTTATTGTTGCAGGGCAAGGCCTCTGCATGGTAATTATTCACTTCTTCGTTTGTTGCCTGTAGTGGTAGTGAAGTCTTCTAAAGCTAAGCTTCCGTATCAATCTCTATCTGAGCACCAAGCATATGTACACACTGCCAGTCTCACTCAATGCTGTCTCAAGCTCGCATCCACCTGGAGCAAAGTCATTGCGAGCGAAGCAAAGGTCTCATCAAGTTAGAGACATATATTTTTAGTAAAATACAATATACATATACAATTATATATATATATATACATTGGTCTCTGGCAACGCTGACTTGACGGTTGTTCTCGAGCAACAGAAACGGTGCTTTTTGGGGGGCCTCCAGATGCCAAGATCGGAAATGTAAAGTTTACAGTGGGGAGTGCGAGTTCTTCACACAGCGGCATACTGCTGCGCCAAATACTACTGTACGAGTTTACATTGAGATTCATTGAGTTGCAAAACAGTGATTGCCTCTGCTCTCCTTCCCTGCTCGAATCGATCTGCTAGACAAGAAACGAGCTGTCCACAGCTTAGACAGGTTCTTGCCAATCTCATTTGGAGAAAAGTGGCGCGCAACATCCATCCTCATCAAGTCTGCAGTCATTCATGACTCCACGATTGGTGAGGATGTTCCACAAAAACTTGATGCTGACAATGCTGTCTGCCAGGTCTAGTGAAATCTTGCAGTCTCGAGACACAGTCACGTCATCCAACGGGGCCATAGCTTCTGACTTTTGGATTAGCACAAACAAATGCAAAGTACAAACAAACACGAGTCAAAAAGGTCGGCAACAAAGGTTGACAACAAGACTTCTGTTTTGGAAAACGTTTTCTGGTAGGGATCAGTTCATGACGTGGTTTATCTGATCTGTGAGGTTCCAGCTTTGTCGTTGGAAACAGCTGTGATCGTCAGTGATGCATTGCCAAAACAGGTCAAAGACTTTGTGATAGAAAGGCCAAATGAACCAATTTTTTGTGTCTGCGCACACAATCCAGATTGCAGCTCTACCCAACCTTGAGGTACTTGGGACATTAGCAAAAAACTGTCTATAGGAGGATCGTGAAGCTTGTACCCAACTCCTGAAGAATCAAGATTGCTAAATTATGGTGGACGACTTGTAATCACCTTGACTCTCACGGCATGGGTTTGAGCGCATCCGTGCGACACCACTTGCTGTGACACTGGGCTTTGAAGGGCTTGGAATGCTCGCAAAGCGCTCGCAAAGCAGCTCGCACTGCTCGAAGAGAGCAAAGGGGCCTTTGAGCCTTTGGAACTCTTTTTGAGACCTTTTGACACTCAAACACTGCACGGCGATCGACCTGAAATGCAAAATCCTTTCGGCTTTGCACCTTGGCATCAGGACATGTCAGGGCTGATCGAAACAGAATCAGGATGGGTGGCCTTGATTCGACACACATAAGCACAATTAGCCAAGCAAGGTTCCCTTTAACATCCTTTAGCTGTTTGTCATTAGACTTGCTTCGCCTGGTGCTGCGTCGCTTGCTGAGCTGATGCAGAATTTCGGCAGCTCTCCATCTGTCACAGTGTTCAGTCGGATGTGGTCCATAGGAACCAATTGATTAGTGATTAGTGCGAGCGCTTCTTCAAGGAAACTCCCCCGGGGTGTGGCTAGAATCAAACGTTGAAAAGGGGCGGCGCGGTTGGCCCAAACTATTCTGACGGGTTCACACTGAAGTTGACAGTCTCAGTGTGGAACGGCAGAAGTCAAACTGTGGCTGTGCTTGGGGCTTCGGCTGGGCGAGCTGAGACCAGCGCAGGGACTGGGTGACAATTGGAGGGTACTCTGAGCACAGCTTGTTCATGGCTAGCGCCAGGTTCATCATTGCCATCACGTCGTCTCCTTTATTGGACGCTCAAGAAAAACATAACTGAACATGTAGACCAACATCGCCCCTTCGCCAGCACAGAGTGCGTGCTTGCAGGTGGGCGCAGGATATGTCAGACATGTGCCCACATATTCCACAACCTTGAAACGATCAAAGATGGTCATCTCGTCCAATCTTTTACCTTGGCAGGCGACGGTCGTTGCTGCTGTGACGCCACATAATAAGGAAAACCTTACTTCCACCATCAACATCTTGCCCTATAGCCAACAACTACTCAATCAACATCTTACCCTACAATCAACATGTACTCCATCAAAGACCACGCGCTGCTTTCCCGAATCTTCGGCCTCATCCGGAAGAAGGCGTTGCCTCCTTGGGCCACTGTTCTAGGGAGACTCAGTCACAGATTGCTGCAACCAGGTGTAAAAGCAACTTTCAGCTTCGCTTTGGACAGCTTCGGACACTTGGAGCAAAAGCTGGCCCGCATTCCTGCGCCGTGGAAATTGCTTCAAGCTTTTGCGACCAGGTTCAACCGTGTTTGCAGCGTAGCCGAAAACCCCTCTGGCACAGCTCCTGATCCAGAACACCACGGCGCCCCGACCGAGAAGCGGGAGGGCGGCACCAAACATATGCTGCCTTTGCAAATGCGCGGCCATTTGCGGCTCACCGAAGCAACCCCTGGCCAGTCATCCTCGGCAAGATGTTCTCCTTAAGCAATCAATACTCCAAGTCGCGCGGAAGCCCAGAAGAAAACTCTATCCATTTCACAATCGGTGCAATGAGCCCCCGATTCTGAATGCGGGTTTTGCCTGAAATCTGGTCGCGCCTGGCTGCTTCCTCGCTGCTCCACAATCGAAGAAGCCATCTGTTGCCCCAACACCGAAAGGGTCCAAGTGTTGAAAACCAAAGCACAAAGGACACTCGTGAGAAGGGAAATCGTCCGAGGAAAAAAACGGCGAAGAAGCCAGGAACCATCCTCGTACGGGTCCCTGCTCAGTCATTCTCAAGCCTACTGGTTCAATTGCTTCCAATTTAAGACCTTCCTGGCGCACCTTGCACGCGAAGTCGCAAACGAAACAAGTCAAACTCGTAAGATGCCAGAATGTCTCCAAAGTAAGACGCTGCGCTCATTCTGCTCATTGCAGTCAACCAAACCCTCAAAATTGCGACATTCTCCGGAAGCGCCTGAAATTGTGGAGGTCAGCTCCTTGGACCGGAACCGGAACCAGGCTTGCTCCGGCCTCAATTCGGCCTCCTGTTCTCCAGCATAGTCAGATCTGGTCTTTGTTCAAGTGGAACTTCCAAACCTGCCATGCGCAGAAGAGCCCGGCTGGGACTGCAATTCTGTTACAACTGCCTGAGCCCATACAATAAGAGTGGATACCACAATCGTGATCATCAAAATCATACTCATATTCTAAACTTGCAAAACTCCAACCTGCGCTTCTCACATTCACCACAGTGCTTCTCACATTCACCACAGTGAGCCAGCAAGCAATTCGACTTGTTTCTACTCATTGTGTGGGTGGCTTATAACATTTTTCCTTCTGTTGCAGCCGATCGAAGAGACTCATCCGTGGAAAAGCGGTCCCAAATCTTTCTCTTTGCTCCCTTTATTGCGGGAAGCCTTTGCAGCAGCCAACACACGCGCCGCTACCACATTGTCATCTGGAGCTTCTGCTGCAGGCGCAGCCTCTGAAGGCTCATCTACAACATGAGCCCCAGGCGCAGGCTCATCTACAACATCAGCCCCATTGCCATCCTCTAAGAGCGCTCTACAACTTCTTCTGCAGCTACCCATTCTCTTCGATAGAGCATGCCTAGAAGCCTTGCTGCGCTGCAAACAGCAAAAGCATGCTGGGCTCAATGATGCAAGAAAATAATCAGCGCACACCTTAAGGCAGCGTTAAGTCTGAAGTCCAGCTGTGCAACATAACGATTTAGACCAAAATTGCCCCCAGAGTGAACCTGCCCAATAGACACCGACTAAGGTGGCTGAGTCTGAAGCGAAGCCGCACAAAAAGGATTCTTTGTGCCACATTGAGTCTGCAGCGAAGCCCCTAAAAGACTTCGACAAAACCAAAGAGTGCACTTCACAGTAAAGTCACTGCCGACATGTCAAAAAGCAAGCTTGACTCCAGATCTAAGATTGAGAAGACAAACACTGGACGCAGGTGAGGTCAAATACACTTTTGATACTTCACCTATGTAGCCCCATGCCAAAAAGAGCCTGCCTGAACCAAGTTTACGAAAAGGCTTGAAAATCTGGAGTTAGACTATCTATCATTCTTGATTCAGCTCCCTACCGCCCTCAGGCGGGGAGCTTCCTTGAAGAAGCGTGAGCTATCCGATCCTGCGTCCTACCTAGAAGCTAACTTAGCCTAGTAGCTTGCCTCCTTACTTAATGAAGTAGGCGCCTACTTAATTGAGTAGGGATGCGGGGCCTCGGGCAAAAAAGAAAAATAGAAGTTGAAATAAACAAGCATGTTCTTCACAGCGAACTTGCAAGTTCGGACAGCCTGCGCCCTGAAAGTAGATATGGACATGCCATACCTTCGGCAGGTATGTTGGAGGCCACTAGGTGCTCATGAGCTCATGCCTTCAGCTGAGGCCATGACATCAATGGTTCGCATTTGCCGGTTGTCATCATAGTTCCATGCCTTGAGTGACTAGTGAGTAGCACGAAAACCAGCATTACCAGCGTTACCAGCACTCCAAACCCATTGAGGTACAGTTCTGAAACGATTCCTTGAGCAGGGTTGAGAGATCAAACATGTCAAACTTGAGGTCCTGGCGATTACATTGTGTGGCTTTCTGGCATTAAGCCATGCCTCTGACTTTACCGCCCCAGCTGTGCTAGATTTCCTCTTTGACAACTCAGAGTCTCTTGCTTCAGGGCAATCCGAATACAAAGCCTTGATGAACTGACACAACTCTGCGTGATCCATCGCTTTCCTGGCAGAGCTAAAATTGCAAAACCACAAACCAATCCGGACTGGGACGCGAAATCAAGCTCATCCGCAGTCTGGAGAAGGGACTCGGACCAGTGCAAGGCGCAACCTTTTGAATGTTAGCAAAAGGTCAGGGATGTTGGTCGAGAGAAACGAGACATCCAATTTCGGTCGGGCAATTCAGCGCTGCTCTCCAAAAGCGGTATTCCGTATTCCTGAATTTCCTTGTTTGCAAAATTCAACCTTGCGTGATGCATCCATACAGGATAAACACGTCCTTCTGAATCAATGAAGGCAACTATATTATATATACTGCAATTCTTGTGGGCGGGGGCATAATCTTGCTTGCCTCCTCTTATTGATGACTTCCTTTCTTGAAGCTCTCTGACTCTCTGTGACATTTTTATGTTTAGGGAATGTCTTCATCCGCTGCAAAAACTCTTTCCTCCTGCTAGCGATATCGCCGTCATCCTTTCTGTTGCTTGTGGCTAATGTGCGTCCGTGATTTGTCCACCTTTTTTGGCATCATCTGTCCTATTTCCCAGGACTGTGGAACGTCTTTGGTTTGTCTCAGCGCCACCAGTACTTCGACCGAGTGAACATAGCCAAAGTGGTAGCTGGTGGCACAGCTTCCATTCGGTAGTTCTTACTGCGCCAAGAGGGTTTCATGAAAGGGTTATGATTAACACCTGAGACTACGTACCCCCAAAACTGAAAAGTTCCCGCTTGCAAACAACTGTGTTCCAAACAGTTCCAAAGCCAAGCCGTTCAACAGAATTGCATGTTGCCTGGCCCATATGGTCCAATGCTCCATGCCAGGGGGCAACAAGTACCTGAAGAACAGAATTTGTGGAGTTAATTCAGCACTGTGAAGCCACAGGAGCACGGAAACATGTTTCGCTCCAACAGCACTTCTCGCCTAGACAAAGCATGGAACAACACACACGCTAAAACAACGTGTCTCATGCTCTGACCAAGGACTCGAGATATATTACTGTAGGTTAAATTATACACATGTAACATGTATCGTATACGTGTACGTTGCATACCTTAACATTTGCTTGCTTAATGGTTCTAATTGAGAATAATTTTCGCGTAATTTCTCAAACAGTGTGGTTGGAGGTTCTCGCGGTAGAGGTTTGGATTAAGGCTGGAATTGATCAAGGTTGCTCACTGGCCGGTCCGGCCAATTCGATGCTATTTACAGCGCATTCATGCCTTCGAAGCGCATTTCACCTGCCCAGGCTCGCGCAAACTGGTGGGCACGGGCGGGCGCTTCCTCGACTGCGCTCTCGTTGTGGTGCCTTGCACATTTTCGTAGCAAGTGCAAGGGGAATCTTCGTGCTTTGGTGGTCTGAAGTCGACTTCTCGAGGCACTCGCAGCACTTTGTGGTGTGCTTTCGTATGTGTGAGCACAGTATGCGTGTGTGTACCAACTCTGTTTCCAAGAGTTTTTTAACTCTTTCAGCAGGGGACCAGGACTCCCTGGCGCGCGTCCTGGCCAATGAAGACCGCGCACCAGGGAGGTGTAAACGTACCTGCTCTATCCTGCTCTTGTTTTAACTGTTCATTGGTTGCTGTGGTCCCTTGGTTTGTTTCATGGTGGTTCATGTGCCTGATATTGCTCCGGAATTCTAACTCATTCTAAAGGGTTTACTGCGTGGTAAAGGGCCAAAGCGTGCGTTCAAACAATTCGGATCTCTGACCCAGCACGCTGAGGATTCATCGGCCTGCCAGTTGCTGAACCTTATGCTCATTCACTTGAGCTCTATACCTAAAGTGTGACCAGCGGCATCTTCCCACAGTGGTATGCCGTGCGATCCCTGCGGGGCGCCGACTTCAAAGCTGCAGCCACCTGATTCCTGCGTTTGCATCGTGAGCCACTAGCAGATCAACAGTCTACCGCCGAGTACACGGAGAGTATTCACTGAATTTCACACTCCTCTCCACTTTTGAATAATTAACTGCACGCTTCTGAATAATGCGTGCAATGCATCCGTGAAAGACTTTTTGTGAAACTAAGTAAGGGTTAAGCTGTCCAATACGCTGTTTTCCTGCACTAAAGCGCTATTGCTGTACATCGCTAATGCACCTGAGAGAGACTCTGTGAGCCTAAGTAAGGCTTAAGCTATCCTTGAGAGTCAGGAAGACAGCCGGAGAATTGTTTAGTTGATTATTTTTTATGGTTTTTAAGAAGTTTTATGAAAACTAAGTGGCCCTCAATTTTTGGAGATTCCATTTTTATGAAGTTTTGATGGTTTTTTGCTTGTTTAATGATTTTATGATTTTTGTGTTTTTAACTTTTTATGAAAATTTTAAGATTTGTTGAGCACATCAAGAAATCATAAAACAGTTTATTTAAAATCATATTTTTCATTAAAATCATAGAGTATAAAACAAACAATTGTTCATAAATGCGTTTCATAGATTTTAATAAATAGAGCAGAAAAATATGTTGAAACCCATATTTCCTAGCCTCTCCCCAACTCACAAAGCTATCCAAAACGTTGCTTCTGCACTAAAACGCTAACGCAGTCCAGGGCCGCCTAAGTAAGGCTTAAGCTGTCCAATACGTTGTTTCTGCGCTAAAGCACTAATGCAGTCCAGGGCCAATGTCAGTGGTGGTCTGAAGTCGACTTCTCGTGGCAGTCGCAGCACTTTGTGGTGTGCTTTCGTTTGTGTGAGCACAGTACGCGTGCGTGTGTGTACCAACTCTGTTTCGAAGAGTCTTTTAACTCTTTCAGCACGGGGCCAGGACTCCCTGGCGCGCGTCCTGGCCAATGAAGACCGCGCACCAGGGAAGCGTAAACGTACCTGCCGTTGCTTCAACTGTTGATTGGTTGCTGTGGTCCCTTGGTTTGTTTCATAGCAGTTCATGTACCTGATGTTGCTCCGGAATTCGAATTCATTCTAAAGGGCTGCTGCGTGGTAAAGGGCCAATGCGTGTGTTCAAACAAGTCGTTTCTCTGACCCAGAATTCTTGCCGTTACCTCAAGTCAAGCGCTGAGTATTCATCGGCCAGCCAGTTACTGAAACTTATGCTCATTCTTGAGCTGTATATCTAACTGTGTGTGTGTCCACACCTCTTTCTAAGGAGCTTGCATAGTTCCAAGTTCCAGGTCGTTGCTGCAGTAAAGTGCTAGTGCATCCGTGATCCAGTAACTGATTCAGCTCTTAGGCCTTGGTGGCGCTGCCGGTCCCAAACTCCACCCCCTCGTCCCTTCGTTTCCTCCGTCCCCTCTCCCCCTCCGGACTTTCCTCTCTCACGCACCCATTGAGCGCCGATATCGGCATACTGTGTGTGTGTCCACACCTGTTTCTAAGGAGTTTGCATAGACTAATACACCTTCGGTGGATCTCAGGAAGTTTGCAGGGGGGCAACGGCCGGTCTTCTTACGTTGCCCAACGAAGCTGTAGAAGACTGGTGGAAGCATTCAGGTACGCCTGAGTGTGTACCTGCTTGGTGATGCAAAACAGTGTACACCTGTTGTTCTCGGCCCTTTATAAGGTCTGTTTCCAGGTTCCAGGTCGTTTCTGCAGTAAAGTGCTAGTGCATCCGTGATCCAGTAACTGATTCAGCTTTTGCGAGCATCAATCTAAGTGTGTGCGCTCTACAGTGCGGACGTTCGATTATTCACCCTTGTGTTGTTCTACTCGACGCTCTTTGGGGTCTCTTGCCGGGATGATCTGTTAGACAGTACTTTTCTTGGCGTTTTTTCTCTCATTTACTGGTGATTTTAGGTCTCCCCATTCTAAGACCCTCTTTTGGCAAAATAAGTGTAATAGCTGTAAGCTTTGGAATCATCGGTAAAACACGCTTTTCCACGTGATTACTATGCTCACTTAGCAATGCAGGGAGTACTGTGTGAACAGCGGACAATTATGCTTCATCAACTAGGGAAAGAGCCCTGCCAGAACCTCCTCCAGGACAAACTTTTCGCGATTTCCTCCATGGCATATTTGGAAATCGACAAGTGCAAACAAATCAAACTTAAAGTCAAGTCCTCTGTAGGTCTCATCCATCCATTTCAGCCTCGCTTTGAACAGCTTTGCTCAAGACACCAGAATTTTCCTGGTACATAATTCGACCTACTGTAATTGCATCGTGATTTAACTTTAGCTTTAGTTCCAATTCTTGACTCTTGCGAGTTCGACTGTAGCTCAAGCCAAGCCAAAAGCCGGAGGTAGCTAGCTGAGTTTTGAGGCAGCCGAAGTGGACCAGCGTAAGTGGAGTTGCTTGATCTTTTGGATTTGGCCAGTCTTTGGGACCACGTGAAAAATTTTTTGCAAATCAGCGATAGGACCTCACGCGCCGGACCAACTGGCATTCCTCGGACAGCACCGCACCCACAGCTAGACCCACCCACAGCGAGATTCCAGCGCACAGGTGTGGCACCCACAACAACACGCACAGAGCAAAGCACCTGTGAAAACAAAGCACCTGATGAGCCATCTTGGACCCTCTTGCATTATATATCTGCATCAAGTGGGGTATCTCACTCAGGGGATATTTGCAGTACGTCGAGTCTTGCTCCTTCATGCGGTGAAATCAATCCACAACTCAAAGTTGTCCAACTCAAGATAACTCAAGTGTCTTGACCACTACCGACAAACACAAACATATGAGATCATATGAGCAACCTTGACAATGAAAGTACAAAAGCTGGTCTTACCTAAGTAGGCTTCGTTATTGGTATTCCGCCTTCTTCTTCCAAGAACTGACACTATGTCAATGTCCTGTGCGTTCAAAAGCTGAGTTAGATTATCACCACATTATCAGTCAAGAGTGCCCACCCTCTTATCCGGTGCACTTGGGCCAGTGTCTACTAAGGCCATTTTTGTGTGTGTGCGTGTTGGGCTTCATTTCAAGTCATTCCTCCACTTTAAGCCCTCAAAACCCTGAAGACAAAACGATCGAAAAGGAGAGTCCCAAGGGGAGGTTTCGCTTTTGATTTTCCCAACCTGTGCGAATTCTCACTCCCTACGACCGTTTTGTATAAATGCCAAGCACTGGATCACAAGACTCCACAGTCAAGCCCGAAGCCTGTCGGATATCACTCTGGCTCACTCACATGTGCAACATGAGAAGTTTTTCAAGAACCCCAATAAAACAGTTCAAGCTGATAATTTTAGCGCGAGAGGAAGACTGGACTGCTTTGAATCATGTGATGATTTGACATCGCATGAGTTGTGATGCGGTAATTTGGGATGTGGCGCTTGGTCATGTCATGACACTGTAGGTAGGGAGTACTGTCAGTGATGATTTGTGAGGTGATGAAGGACAACGGGGCGATTTTTGGGGCGGCAAAAAGGTGGTCTTGCATGTGGTGAAGGATAATGTGGTGCTGGCCTCCCCCTCATACCTGACGCAGCATTGACGTGAGACTCAAAAGTGCCAACACTGCCAAAGCACAATGTCACAACTTATTAAACACAAGCCTGACAGCGCACCACTCACCACAATATTGTTGGATTCGTCACAGAGCACCACACACTTGTCATATTGTTCACATGCCAAACTCATCCGGGTTCAGCGTTCAGAGAGTCTCCTGCAAACTTTCGCCTCTCCCTCGTGCAGAACATACCAGTACCTGGTATATTGTCCGCTTTAGGAGGAATCGAAGGCCCCAGGGCTTAACAATGTGCGTGGGCCCTGGTCTGGTAGGGGGTTATCATGTACAGTATAAATTATACAAGCATAGACCCCAAACAGTTTCAAAACGATTCGCTTAGACCAATATTAGTCAAAAATCGATTTCTTGGTACGCCCTACTTTCACCCCAAGAGCAAACTGCTTCATCAATGAATTTTTGTCGGCATTGACATCGCTATTTGTTCGGCCACACTCCTCTCCAGTAAGCCGGGCCACAGAGACCAGCCACAGAGTTCAGGGGCGCGGCCAAGACAAGGACAAGAGGAGGACAAGACCCGGACACAGAGCCCAGCTACAGAGTTCAGGGGCGCGGCCAAGACAAGGACAAGGCCCAGCCACAGAGCCCAGCCACAGGGTTCAGTGGCGCGGCCAGTGGCGCGGCCAGTTCTAAGATAGAACCCCAACAGTAAACTGTCTGGGGAAAAATAGTGATGTGTGTGTATGCATGTGTCTTCTGGCTAGATCGACTCAGAATTGCAAAGAGGACATGACCTGGCGCTTTTGGCTTTCATCACGTCGTCACTGCGTTTCCAAGGCCTGCCAAACACCACCGTGCTTCAAATCGACAAGGACAGAGCTTACTGGCAGAAGTGTCAAATCCACAGGGCGCACCCGATTCGAATCGTCCTGCGCACAGAGGTTTACATGACAAATTGTTGCATGATTGCCTGAAAAGAAAGTAGCTATGCAAGACCAAAAGCACGATTCCATGTTCGACACTGTGTGGTCGGGATGAGTGCTTCATATTGATTCATATTGACAGTAATTCCTTATACTTGCGCCGCCTTCCACAATGCCTCTAGGCCCTGCAAAGCGTGCCAGCATAGACCCCAGATAGCACAAAATATTTATGGGCCGCACCATTGCAGCGGCACCAGCACCCAGGCTCCAATGCGCACATGACCATAGACATCTCTCCAAAGCGCACACAGGCATGGACAGCACCGCCCTGCAGCAGCACCAGCACCCAAGCTCCGAAGTGCACACAGCAGCTCTTCCTATACTTGAAGTAAGCACCCCAAGAGCTTTCGCTATCATTCGCTATCTTGGGAAAACTTGCCTTTTCACATATATGCCTTGTTGTCATATGTCTAGAGGCTCATCTTTTCACCCGCAACCGGTGTAGGCATTCTAACACCTCGTGAAGGTAATCCATCTTTGGGAAACTTTCTTATTGCCTCAACAGGCAGGACA